CAGAAGAAAGTGGAGATGGATTTGACTGAACTGGACATACACTGAGAAGACCATTTGGGTACATCACGCGCCAGGTCAGGTCCTCGAGTGGAATCCAAAGGGGAAACGATGAGTTGGGTGTCCCAGCTGAGGGTGACATGGAGGAGGTCATGTGAGGAAGAAATGAGAGCTTTTGGGCAGTCAAGGAGCGAGGTTCAAAAGACTGGAGAGAATAGAGTGAAATGGCGACGTACTACTGAAGCCCTATGTTTCACGGGGAACCGAAGGGACGAATAATAATAAAGTCGTGAGTACAACATGGTTGGTAGTGATAACTCCAATACGTAAATCCGTCCTGGTTTTACTATGGCTCGGGTGAAGTAGTTCAATTGTTAAATGGTGAAGACTCTATTATACCGAACATAACTGTTCCTCTGGTTTACAAGTATTGCTATAATTCCTGGATATTCTATCCTTTCACTGTACCATTTTAAAGTAAACTAATAAATTAAAGGTTTTTCGCTTTATATTGCTTTTGTTTATTTGTATGCTAGAGCCTTACCTACTTCAATAGTGCTATTTAATGTAGAAATGTTTCATATGACAAAAAGTGCTGTAAATTTGTCATGTACAATCTTTCACATGCATGCTAAGGATATTTATAAGACATGATTAGGGTTACACTGCTAAGATAATCGGTGGCAAATACATAACACACAAGTTTACTGTAACATTACAAGTACCGAAAAAATAAATACAGACTAGTATTGGCCAATTGATTATATATATGTATATACCCCGAAAATAACACTGAATAAACTTTGTGAAAACGGGGAATAATGACACGTGTATTATTCGGCACAATAAATAACAACATTAAAATTAATGATCGATAATTTTGTTGGCAAGCAAGTATATACATGATAAAGCTTATTATTTATCTGATCAATGTTTGCATTCATAGAAAATGTTTCACATATCATGCATAAAAGGCCACTAAGCAAAACGTCCTGGAGAATCAAAAAAGTTGACTTACAGATGCACACTGCCTACCTGACTATACAGCAGTGTGGTTGTTCAAAGTCAACTTCCAATAGTGTCACATTTTTGTAACGATGTATTTAAGCAAAAGCTCGAAAACAAACAGTCTTTTAATTCATCATTCTGAAGTTAGTTCTAAACGCTTATTAATTATGAGCTTGAGAATTGTTTCACAGTTTGCTAAATTATTATAGACTCTGGGATTAACTGAGGGATGAGAGACAAAAGCAGTGTGAACGAAAGATAAAGAATCCGTTCTAACAAGTTAACTGAAGTGAGAATAAAAACCAGATTACAATAACAAGTCTGTACGCAACCACTAGAGTATTTACTAAACAGAATAATACAATGGGGCTTTAGATCTAACAAAATATTCAGCTTCTATTTTTAGTGCGTCGTTTATACCACATGACTTTAGAGCAACAAGAAATTCACAGAACTTCTAACTGACAAAATCATCGTAGAACTTCGCACACAGATGTATCAGCTCGAATAGCCACACTTCACAGTAGTATACAAAAAAAATGTGGGCAGAAGAACAGTAACATCAAAGTAAACAAAGTTGTGTGAAAGAATAAGAAACTAAAAGATAAAGCTTAGTGTGAATATTCAAGCCTTAGAAGACACTAAAAAGTAAATACATCTACGCCACTGAAACCGACTTTCAGCCAGGTGACCAAGAATCCTCAACCACTGATTACCATCGTCTCGGCAACCCCAGGTTGGTACTCTACACTTCCCCATACATCTCAAACCAACAGTCAGAGACTTCATGGACTGGTGTCTTACTCTGGCCACCCTGAAATTCCTTCCAACCTAATTCAACTCCCCTCCAGCATGGCATATGGAGGCAGGTAGTGGTGGTATGAAATGTGCAGTACATGTCCAACCTTCTCAGTCGACAAAGTTTCACAGCCTCATCAATCGACTTGTTTGTCTTGCCTAGTACCCTTCGCCTGACCTCAACATTGCAAACACGGTGATCCCACCAAACACGAGTAATGCTACCAAGACATCTGCGATCAAAACCTGGTAACCGCTTCATGTCTTCTACTTTTAACGACCATGTCTCACAGATACATAACAGGAGAGAAAGGACTACAGCGCAGTATAATCATCCTTTGATAAATAACCGGATATTTTGCAAGTCGGCACCACAAATGACGCAAGTTGGTAAATGCCAAACGAGTCTTCTGTGTCTCAGCTGAGATTTCAACAGCAACCAGTCCGCTAGGGCTGATGAAACTCCCCAAGTAAGTGAATTAGTCGACACATTTCATTTCACTCCCGATCCTCAGGTTGATAGTTATAGACCAGTATTTGGGGATCATTCTACATTTGAAAAGTGTGAGATGCATGTCAAACATACTCATATTTCTGGCCAGCGTGTCCAGAATACCCTTCATTTCGTCAGCACTTTCAACTAGTAGAATAATATCGTCTGCATACTCCAATTCAACCAGATGACCTTCAGAGAGCAGACCAATCCCTGTCAAGTAACATTTACCTATGGTTATATCCATTAGTACATCTATGACGAAGTTAAATAGGAACGGTGACAGTGGGAACCCCTAACGAACACCACTAGTTGCCGTCAACTCACATGACAACTCTTTGTAAGCCTTTAACATGGCTGCTGGAGTTCCAGTTTAGAGCTCTGATTAGCGTTATATACTTGCTCGGTACTCCCTTCACAGTCATATAATGTTGCAATACTTTACTGTCGATAGACCCAAATGCTGTCCTCAAATCAACAAATATAGCAAGTGCCAACCATTAGTATGACTGTGTGATAGCTTCCCCAAATTCAAGAGAGTTGCAGGACTGACATCTGGGCGCTATTCAGATTTAGGCTGGATTTCAGGCAACTGAAACGTTGCTGAGGACCAGTTGAACTGTGCTTCAAAGTGTTCTGCACAACATCCTAGCCGCCCATTTTGCGAGGTCATCAGTATCCCTTTTCTCGGTGATAGTTCCACTCACCACCGTCTTTTTCTTGTCGGTATCCTTAGAAAGCCTTAATAGTTGCCGAGTGCTACCCAACCCTGATGCCTTCTCCATCTCTTTTGATTTCGTCACCCACCACCGTTCGCAGATGACGCCAAGGTTATCTTATGTTAGAATTGCCTTCGCTCTTCATCGTGGTAAAAGGCAGCTGGAATCAGTCTTCACGTATCGATCAGTTCGGATGACGTCGCGGAAATCCATTGGCCTTTGCTAACCTTTAGATGTAGAGTACCAACTTTAGTCACAGTTATCTCATCAGCTGGCTGAATATAACTCTATGCGTTCTCAGGATAATCACCGCTGTCACGTTCAGATAAATGCTTAGCTACATCCTCTTTAATTGCGTACTTGGCGACCTTATCTTGCCATCGAGTACAGATAGGTCTCACTGCCTCCCGTTTCTTAAGGCCAATAAGGCACAGACATACACGACCCCGCACTATTGTGTCATCGGAGTCCAAACAGGTACTCATGAAAGAGCGGCAATCCTCTACCGACCGTCTCCAACGATGGCTTATATCAATATAATTTACATGTGTTCATCGTTGGTTTGATGTCGGTGGACGTCATGTGAAATAGTATCTGGTACTGGCCAGAAACAAGTGATTGTCAGAACAAAATTGCAACAGAAGATCACTTTTCTCGGTTCGTTGGGATCCTGTAAATACCTACGAGATGCTTTTCCGATTGGGTCAGCTTCCCTACTTGAGCGTTAAAGTCACCTGCCATTATGACTACATCCGAACCTTTTGTTTTCTGTAGTAATAATGACAGCTTTTTATGTAACTCATCTTTAGCACCATGCGAACTGCAGTCAGTGGAGGCATACGGGGGGGGGGTCACGAATATCCACCGCTTAGTTTTACAATCTTGCTAGCTTTTACAGATCCATTTAGTCGAAAAACATATAGCCGGCTGTTGACGTGTATCAACTTAAGCACACTTTCTACCTTACAACCCAATACTATGCCTACAAAAGCGAGTCTACGAGAGCCAGCCACTGCGTTTCCGCACACTCGTAAGGTGAATTTTGAGAATTCACAGAATGGCAAGGTGAGGTAAATCTAATAACCACACTTGAGTCCTTTATACTTGTCTTAGAGACATAGCACACATCCATGGCTAAAGATTCCAGGGTTTTGGCGAGCAATGCTTGCTGTCCGGTCTGGCATAGAGTTTAGACAGTCAAAGCTTCTACATGAACTCGATTGCAGGGTCTTAGGAGACTAAGATCGAGGTTTTGATGACTTTGATTGTTCGCAGTGGTTGCATAGTGGGAGGTTGAGGAAGGCGTAAGAGGTCTAATAATAGTATCAGGAGGTGAAAGCAAAGTAGGAGTCAGAGTTGAGAAGGATAAGTAATGTTTGATTGGGTCTTGTGTACTACTGGAAGCGTGGGGGCGGTTGACACTTCCCAGCTGTCCACACCGTGGAAGGCTGTTTAAGGTACCTGAAGGAGAAAACGATTTGTGTGACCGCATTGCCCATTGGATATCTGCTTGAGACCTGTCACACGCGACCTTTTACGGGTCGTTGTTTTGAGGTTTGGTTGTTCTAACGCAGGATAAAGAGAATCGATACCACTGGTGCCAGAAGACCGTGGGGCAGGAAAGATTGTGCTATTTTTGGGGTTGACCTTTTCTAACCCATTCTCTTCACTGAGAAGGCAACATTAACGTGGCACTGCTCTCACCCCCCCCCCCTCCACCCATCCAGCTAGTAGCAGTACAACTTCGCCCTCAGACTCACATCGTAGTTTAGCAATTCACACTGTAACGGTAACTGTCTTCCGTCTCACCACTCACTACCCACTAGACGTTCCTTGCATCATAGGACCTCGATGGAACAAGCGTCCAACCAGTATACCTCGTTGGGTCATTGTGATGTGCAGGCCCAACCGCCACCCCAAAGTAGCAACTATCGGCTTCACTGAGTGATGCATAGCGAAAAAGAATGCAAATCTGAATAACTCACCTGTGTAGTGAGATTGTATGATGTTAAAGACGTTGTGTGCAAACAAGTTAAATAAGGAGGACGCATGAAAGGCCAACCAGGAGTAATAAGATCGATAGCTACCATCTCTTCTTCACACAGAAGGATTAGTATTTGAACAGGTCCACCTGCAGGTCCAATGGGAATCAAATCAATTAAACTAGAAGGTAAGTCAAAGCAAACATGTTCGGGTGCATCAGAATCAAAAACATGTATAGGAGCAACAGAAAGTGGACTTTCTTCTGGTATTTCATCATCATCTTCGGCCTCAGCGGCTGCAGCAATCCGAGCAGCAACAACAGTAGCGTTAGCAGCCCGATCAAGGTTAGACCCACGTAATACGCTAACAGTATGGCGTTCTCCATAAGTGGCACGTGGCATTCCACCCACAAATACAGTGATTCCTCCACTGCATAAAATAAGTGTAAGGAAAATGCATCAGAAAAAGGAACAGAAGTGTTTTATTAAATAACGAATTCATACCATTAAAAATTGGTTAGGATCCAGGATATATAGATAAAATATGTTGCATTTTACACGACAGTTATGCGTTTTTAAAAGCGCAAAAATTTCAGAACGAGCAAATATAGATTACCAGTCTGGGACTAAACTAACAGATCTCATGGAAACTATTACTTTCATAGATATCCATATGATTTAAAGTGGTTCACTGTGAACATGGGTCAGTACGGTGGGGGCATCACACACCAAATACCAAGTCGAACATGAAGACAGTTACTAAACGACGACATTAGATGGAGGTTGTACTATATCGTGAACTGAGAGAAGTGGGAAATATGGACCAGTGGATTCCGACCCAGTGGCTCAATCGTTACGTGCTGGTGGCGGAACCTGAGGATCTCTGGTTCGAGCCCCCTCAGGGTTATGGGTGCGCACTGCAGGAGAGTCCCACATTAGCACGAAGCAGCTGTTCAACCTTCCCGGGTTTCCGATGTTCCTCCAACTGACGTCAGTCCATGATAAATTGCAACCTGAAAGCAATCAATAACTCTCCACAAACTCCCAGACTGAAATACCGTCTCACTTATATCTCAACAAATAAAACAAGGTAGGAATTTAGTAAACAGTAAGAACTTTAACTAAAAGAATTATTGCCTCAAAGTTGTGTTTTACGTTAACTATCATTTCAGATTGGAATAAACAATCTAGAGAGTGGAGTTTCATGACTAATGCCGACTATTATATACGAATTACGTATAACATTCATCAACACATTAGTTTCAAATGAACATAATGATTAAAAATATAACAGTAAATAAATTCGTGACCATATAGCTCACTGTCATTTATGTACTGAGAATCTAATGATCATTTTGACGACTAAAAACAATTACTTCTTTCTTTCGATAAAGTCGCACATGATCCCCAACGTTTCCGTAAATATTCAAGCTTTTTGCACCACGAACATTATAATTAATTGTTCAATTTATTGCTAATATATTGTTGTTTTTTGTGTTTACTTAAGAACCAGATTTTTTTATTATTACCGTTTTCGCTTTGTCTTTACCTTAACTTCACTCAGCTGCTCTCCACTGCTTAGACTTCTGGTCTGTTTGTACCGTTTTGGTTCACTAAACAGTTGCCCCCAAGAGCTGTCCTCAGTGAGATATATGACACAGCTGTCTTGAGACCACGCGTACCTATTAAGCTCGCCACCTTAAACGTTAGCACCTGGATGCAGATCGGACTGCAGGCAAGTTTGGCCAGGACTCTCGAAAGCCTCACTATTGATGTATGCTGCATCTTAGACATCTGAAGACAAGATCCCAGTGAAATCCTTAGAACAAGTACCCCATCTGTCAGCTCAAAAAGTATGTTTCATGTGAGTTTATTCGGAAACCCAGTGGCATTGGCAACCGGTGGAAAACTTTGAAGCATAGTTTAACTGGTCTTCAGTTCCCCAAGATTCAATCTGAACCTGAGTGGGACGTATACGTCGGTCCCCCAACTGTCTTCAAAGTTGAGGAAACCGTTTCGAACCCAAACCGCTGCTGAGCAGCAGGACCTGATGGTTTGCCAGCCAACATTTCTTAGGATGGAAGTATGATACGGCTGGTAAGAATGATGGAGGTACTATGTGGTGTATTGGAATCAGAGGTAGTTACATCTCAACTGATCATCCCAGCCTATAAGAAAGGAGAGAAGTCTTTTGACGATCATAGGGGAGTCAGTTTAATTAAAATCGTGTCAAAGATCATTAAGTATATAGTTATGTGGCGCCTGACTGAAGCTTGCGAACTGCAAACTCGTGAAAACGAGGTAGGTTTCAGATGTGGATGAGGGCGTGTGGATCAGATCTTTACCCTCCAACATGTTTTGCAACACAGGTATACTCACCGGCAGTCGCCAGTAGCCTTTTTTGTTGACCTGAAGGCTGCATTCCACTCTGTCTACCGTAAAGCGTTTTGCCATTTGTCTGACTGTGGAAGGAGTTCCAATCAAATATGTCATGCTAGGCAAAGGTGTCTACTTACGCTCATACAGCCACGTAAGTGGTTATGGAGGTGGGCAACAGTGACTAGTTGGTCGCAGATCGGACAATGGGAATCGTCTTCTGAAGCTTTGCGTAGATTACAACCTGTTTCTGACCAGCACCAACTTTTGGCATAGTCATCATTGTTGTGCTACTTGGCGTCCTCACACCCAAGCCTCGATTCAATTAGATCATATTGCAGTCAGCTACCGATAGTGTGGGTGTATACAGGACTGCTGCTCCACATGCAATAATTGTCTAAACTCTGATTCCATTTAGATGTGTGGTAAGCTCGTCTTTGGTGGTCATCAAACCGTCGTCCTAAACAGGTAGATGTAAGCAAACATAGCGGCTAAATACCGATCAGAGCTAGATTTAAGGCTAGCTACCAATCTTCCAGAAAGTGTAGACGAGCACTAGCTGTACTTGCAAGACGCCATGAAGATGGCGAGTAAAGCAGCCTGCGGCCTGGAAGAACGTCCGACTACTAAACATTTGGTCTCCGTGAGCTCCCCGCAACTTCTGGACGGCCGTCGGACCGTTCCGTTGTGGTGACGTCTACTACCCATTTCAAGGGATGGATCAAAAATGGAAATCTAATTAATGTTTAGTCGATCCTTTTCGATATGGTTGAGTCCATTTACTTGAAATCTCGTGCTGTCAAAACACCTTTTAAAGATCCTATGTTTACACTACAGGTTATCCTTCCAATGAAATGATGAACACACAAATTTGATAAACTCGCTGTATAAAGACAATGCACTATCATGTTTTTTAGTCAAACGATAACATTGAGCTGGAAATGTATTTATCCTGATTTAAACTAAGAGAAGGTATTACCATGAGTTCCAAGAAGAATCTGCAGAAAATGGGAATAGATGACGCTTTCTCTCCATCGCTGGCTGATTTTTCAGCTATTTCTAGCTCAGCTAGATTGTGTATCTCAGATGTACTGTTTAAAGCTATTTTAAGGTAGATCAGGAAGGCGCAGTAGCTGGCGCAGCTGCAGGAAGTACAACCCACAGGCTCGGAAACCTTTGCCTGAATTCTATGTGGATCATCCATTCTTCGTTTCAATTGTGAGAAATACGTGTGCCAATATTTATGGGACATATTACGGTGCTCTTAGACGACTAAAGTGTTTAGCGTACAGCCGTCACTGAAACATTTGTATTTTCTTCAAAACTTGCTAGGTTTTGTGACTTACTTTTGCTGTTACAGCAACTGATAATGTGTATTTTTAATTAGGGTGAATGTTTACAAGCTGAGTTTTGTGCAAAAGAAACCAAATTAAATATCATTGTATGTAAATACTAATCACAAATATATTTGTACGAAAGTGAATGTTTTGCTTTTAACGTATCTCATTGGACTGTTTTTCTAACCATTTTATTCTTATTGCGTTTCTTTTTCCTGATCCACTTTGCTTTATGCCTTCATAATGTTATTTTATTTCTTGAGGGGCATTTCTTGGTGCTCTTGTTGTACCATGTTTGTGTTGAAATAATAATAACGACAATAATAATAATACACGAAGTACACTTCTATTTTTCAGAATTTTTATACCGCTTTTGTGTTGTTGACGATTAAATCCTACATACTATTTCAACGTGCTTTCAGAATAAGGCCACTATAATCGTTCGCTCAAAATTGTTACGGTTTACTCTTAAAATTTTCAAATATAGATACCAAGTAAGTACTTACAGAGATGAGGGAAGCCAAAAAACTTTGCTGATCAATTTGCAAGGAAATGGTCCTACAAAAAAAAGAGATTTTAGTGCAGTTCATAAGTAGTAACTGTCAACACCCAGGCAAAAAGCACCCTTTATTCATTAGGAAAACTATTCTGCAAGTTCATACACCGCAGAGAGTAGGATGCAGTACATGACAATCAAAACACTAACGCAAAAGGAGTTTGAAACAATTACCTGGAGATAAATAAGTGAACATCTAGACGACATAACTACAATTATATCGATTTTTTCGACAAATTAGTAGTATAATAACAGGAATACCCACACGACAGAACTTTGTAAACTTAGAAAAAGCTGAGGATTATATAATGTGACATATTATGAAACCGGTGGTCGCTGATTCGAATCCGGCTGCGATCTAAATTTCGATTTCCCTTCAATCATCACCCAGTATAAATGCTATTCTGCCAAACCACGGTTGTCTCAGACAGCCAAAATGATAGTAAAACTCCCATTTTACTTCAAAAGACAGTTAAACTAAAAAGAATATTCTTTTCAAATATTCCCTGGTCAGATTTTACATTTCTATGTTCTTCAGGTATTAAAATAAATGTATGTCAACAAAACGAGAGGTTTTATGACCAGGAACAATCATTTGTCAGTATAAAACTTGTCAATTTAAGTAATTTACAGTGAATAAACTTCCCTGAAATACTAGATACCCATCGGTTACTATTTAGCAGAATATATCATGGTTTCTAAGTACGCTTAAAACTTATTTCTGAAAATCAACATTGTTATTCACATATGCCCTAACTGAAAATAATTCTCTGATAAGTTGATTCTAATTATTCATTGTTACTAAATCTCCAGTGCTGTTAAAGCAAATTTATTTTTACAACTGTACAAAATGTACATAAATAACCACTGTAGGACCTGAGGAGAAAATTTTTGAAGATGTATGTATTCTTGGTTCATCAAACTGCGTCCTCCATTGAGTAATGCTTACTGAAGTTCATACTGTAAAAGGCAAAAGGTCGCTAGAATGAAGCATACTATCAGTCCGTGTAATATCTGGGTGTTGGCATGAAAAAATGTAAACTTTCCGACTCAAGTTAATGCAGCTATCAAAACTGGAGCTTGGAGACTCTATGTGGTATGACTTCCGATCGATTCTAATGGCGGAGATGTATCCACACATTATCTTTTCATTAATCGTTGTATCGAATGTCTCCATTTTTCTTTTTTCGTAACCCCTACCACCTTTGAATACTCACTAATTTTTCCACTCCATTTGTGTCCTTTACTTGCATGTGCTGATACGATATGGCAACTCGAACTATTGCACCCTAACGTCAAGTTCCGCGTTGGTGCTGACTGACTTTTGAATTACATAATAACCACTTACAATAATGCTTGGCTAGGTTTATTAAGCCAATCTATCAACAATTATAAACGACTATCTCAAACCAACTGACAATTTTTAATGCTATGGCAGCGGGTAAAAAGCCACTTTACAAACAACTGAGTGTTTTACCATGCACAACATTCAGAATGAAGAAAAACACAATTGTATCGACTTCGTAAATTTAAACCAAAAGCGTTAAGCACATCATTCTTTTGAACATCAAGTAAGCATTCACACACAATACATTGAATTAGGCCCAACTATATACAGACAATAATTTGAAGTTCAGACGAACCACTGCTATATCATGTCAGCACCACTGTATTACGAGGGTTGGTCACACTGGCATAAAATGACCAACACAAGAATACGTACAAAAAATGAGTGGTTGATCCCTAAAACATCGACAATTGATCATATTGCAACCCAGATATATGATATGATTGGTAGATATTTACTAAACAGGTAATGGATAGTTTAATTTCTCTCCAACAAATATTTTTCACAAATGGAAAAGATATGTAGTTTATGATGAGGATGACGGTGGTTTGATGTTCTTTGAGCGTTGATATTTTGTCGTGAATGTTTCATCACTTAGTGACATCGTCAGCGCTAACTTCAACGCTCGGAGAACAGTAAACCCCCATCATTTTTCACAAATGCTTTCATCAATTAAAATATCTCGACTTGTAGCTTCGAACCAATTCTTACAGAATTTCTACGACATATATGTTTCGAAAATAAATTTGGCACCACATTAGCATATACAGTAGGATTTTGAGCTGCATTGCTCTTCTAACTTATCATTGGCATGGAGAATCCATATGCCCTCCTTAAATTACAACATACCAGTTGACCGCCTTTCTATCTAAGGAAAGTTTATTTCGGTAACCACATCATACCTAGGAGATCAGATGTTTCGCCTTTATTGTCGGTAAGTATCTTCTAGTTTCACGAATTTTATGAAAGCTGTATGCTCTAATTCGGAAAGTAGAATTTATTTGCAATCCTGACAACGGTTCTTTAAACAATCACTTCTGAGGATGTTAACGTCATAATTCTAAGCAACATACAAAGAAGTGGACTAAAAATGGGATAACCTTGGAGCAGACAGAGAGGAAAGAAATCAATAAGCAAATAATCAAAACTCTGAAGATAACAAAGAGTACTCATTTGCATCATCGTAGCTGATTTTAGGCTCTTTCGCCAAGAATCTCCAATCACTGATTCTTATCACTTCATTTTCTAAAACAACTAAAACCAACCACCAGGGGCTCAAACTCACCAAGTCCTGATCTGGTCGCGCTTCACCTTCTTACATCTAAATTCTATGGTTATCAAGCACACACAGCATATGTTTAGGCTACCTGACTCACTTCGAGTTTGAAACATCAATTGACAATAGCAACGTATCATAAGTTAAAACTGTCACAAAATCAAACGACGACTCCATAAGGATGCTGTAACCGACCACAAAGTTAAAAACTCTTTGTCACTACCTTGTATTTCGTACTTCATCATACAAATCCTGAAACAGTTGATTAGAAAAAATAGAGTAGTGATAGACAAGGCGTTCTAAATCCGCATCGACATCAAAATATATATGCACTATGTGAAGTCTTTTATTATATATACTTTACCAGACGGCGGTAGGTAGCATTAGAGACTGGTGATTCACACTGAAAACTAAGAAAATGGTGAGTTAGAAAGCATTATGCGTTTCAAACATAAGAAAACTAGCATAAGAGATTGATCAATTACTTTCAGTGAAAACTAAGTTAAGCTTAAAATAAAACCATAGTATGAAAACTGGGTATTTACCATAAGGCATGCTTGGAGCTTCTTCCATAGAGAGCAGAGGGGCCTGCACAGAACTTGTTGTTGCGGAAAAACTAACTTCTTTTAAACTCCAAACTCCCAAAGATCCATCTGAATGCGCAGTTAACAGACGTGTCCCCAGTTGAGGTGAATGAGATGTCTGGTTTGACTTATACGGCAGACCACTACCACCACACCAAGCCGCAGACTCCAAACCATGTTGCCACGGCAACAGTGCCATAATCCGATCCGACCGGAGGTCAAACAGTAAACTCAGTCCAGAACTGTAGCCAATTAGTAGTTGTCCAGGGAAACCAGGCCTTTCTAACAGAACCACGACAGCATCAGCGCGCAGACGCTGTCGACGATCAGGTGAAATGCTGAGAAATGTGTAGTATGAGAAATTAAACTATGATAAAGCATATAACTCGCTCACATTACTAGAAAGCAGTAGAAACTCACTACATTGATAGACAAACAATTACTAATGAAGTTAACATGCGTTTCATTCATTAAGTTAATGTGTAGACTTATGCCGTTAAAAGAAAGCCCAAAAGCCTCTAGAAGCATCTCACATTACAACCTACCAAATACAACGAAAGGTGTTTGAAATCAGTGTGATATTTTACATTGGTAGCTTAACCCAACCTCGCATAGTTTACTAGTTCACCAGTTTACTAGCCGGTACTAAGCCCGGATAAACATGAAAGGTCGGGCATAGGGCTAGCAACCCCACCCCGGAAAACCAGTCCGATCGCCAAGGAAACTTCAAAGCACGAAGAAAATACTAAAAATAAAAACAAACTTATTCCTCGCTGGAATCGGAGAGATGAAATGACGCCGGTTGGTGAAGGCCTCCAGAAAGCCAATTGGCCGATGTGTCTTCACTTCTCTCGATGAAATTAAAGGTAAGCATGGGGACATGGAATGTCCACACCATGTTTAAAGCTGGCTGGCAAAGCTGCCCAGATTGCAAAAGAGATGAGAAGGTATGGCATGGATGTGCTAGGAATCTGCGAGAAATCTGCAGATGGGATGGAAATGGACTCTCCAAACTGTCAACTGCAGAGTTAATAATCTACTCCGATATTGTCACCCAGACAACAACCACGAGCACACTGAGTTTTCGAGTGGCTAGTAAGATGTCCCCAAGAGCATCGAAGGCTCTCATGCAATTGGAACCAATCTCCTCCTGCAGGGTCATGACAGCAAGATTCAAATCAAAAGGAAGGGAAGTTACGATCGTTCAAAACTACGCTACGCACCTACAAACAATGCAGATGAAGAGAAGAAGGAGGAATTCCACAGACAACTGCAACCAGTAGTGGACGAGACTCCAGTTGGCGAAATCAAAATTCATTCTAATGGGTGACATGAATGTCAAACTCGGAGCGGACAACACAGGAAGAGAACTTATCAAGGGTCGAGATGCACTTGGTGAAATGATGAATGAGAATGGAGAACGGTTCGTAGACTTCTGCGCATTTCATGACTTGGTGATTGGAGGCAAGGCAACGTGTACAAGCACAAGGATATTCACAAAGCAACATAGATTTCACCAGACGGATACACTAAAAATTAGATCGACTTCATCTCAACGTGAAGAAAGTGAAGACGCGGCATACTGGACACAAGATCAAGAGAGAGAGCAGATATAAGTTTACACCACTCACTGTATAGTGCAAAGAAACTTCAAAATCAAATTGGAAGCCGTCAAAGAAGCTGGTGACAGACAACAGTTCAAGTCCAACGCCCAGAACAGGAACTACAGACAAAGCTATAGACGACATCATCACATCAGCCATCAGAAAGAAACAGGATACTTAAGGCAACGCCCCTGAAGAAACCTGAGTGGAAGAACACTAGAACTCTGTGAAAGTGACGTGGAAGGAAACCTGCATAACCGTATTAAGAAGGAAGAAGAAAAGGCAACACAAGCAATGGATATCGACGGACACATGGAAGCTGATAGAGGAGGGGGAGGAAGATGGTGAAGCAGAAGATGAACCAGTGCAGTGCAGGGATGAACAATGGAAAGAGGAAACGAAAAGAACCCACAAAACACTAAGCTGGACAAAGAAGTGAAGAAGAGTGCACGCAAAGACAAAAGACACTTCTACGACACACTGGCAAGTGAATTAGAAAAGGCTGCAGGTAGGAGAGACCTCACAACACTATATCAAATAACTAGGCTACTATCTGGGAAGGAAGAGATCCAAACAGACGAAACCAATGAAAGACAGTAAAGGAAACCCAGTTTCCAAAGAGGAGAAACAAAGGAAACAATGGGTTGAACACTTCAAAAAAACCACTCAACCGACCACCACCACCACCACCACCTCAAACTCGTCCAGAAATACCACCAGCAGCTCAACCACAGAAATATAAGTGAACACAAGGCCTATGATAAAAGCAGAAGTGGAGTCCTGAAGGCCGTAAAGTTGCTGAAATCCAGGAAAGCAGCAGGACCACATGGAATTCCGCCAGAAGCACTGGAAGCAAACGCATAGACAACAGAGGACATGTTCACACCATTATTGCACAGGGTTTGTAAGGAAGAAAGGAAGGTTACATGCTGAGTGGAAGAAGGGCTACCTTGTCAAACCCTCAAAGAAGGGAGATCTCATTCTTTGCAATAATTGGCGAGAAATCATGCTGCTGTACACCCCAAGCAAAATATAAGACCGTATCATTCTGCGAAGACCAAAAAGTGCTCTAGATTTAAAATTACCGCAGGAAGGCCAGGATCGGAAAGGCAGCAATGCAGGCCTTCATTAGCCTGAAATCTGTGTGATGATCTACCCCACTCCACTCCCCTCAGCATAAGGCGTGAACGAGATCCGGATTTTCAAGACCAATTCAGTCAGGTCGGTGATGGTTGAGAGACTTGGCGCGTCACTTATAGCATTTCCGTCAAACAACGGACATACATCATATAGATAGCTGCAACCTACCCTCGCTCTATACCGAAGGTCAGGTGGCCAGAACAATAAGAACGAGCAACAATGAACTCTGGTTGGCAACGAACCAACCAGGAACCCATCCCCCAACGGGTGTGCACAAGGTGGCCGAGTGCGTTTCGTTCATCGAAATCGAAATACACTTGGCAACCACGTAGGCGATCGTGTTGTCAGCGCTGAAGCATATCTATTATGTTAGGATTAACGATAGTAACTGGTTTCCCATACGTCTATAGATGGAGCGGGGTCTTAACTCGTGACCCGCTGGTTGGAGGTCGAGTGCCTAGACCAACGACATACAAGGAAAACTAAAGTAGAATCTCGTACGCAAGTGCATCAGTTCAATGTGCAACATTTCACAGTTGCATACAACGAAAAAGGGGATAGAAAAAGACCGATATTAAAGTAGACGAAGTTGTATGAGAGAATAAACAATCTGAAGACAGTCATTAGTGCGAATATTCAGGCTTTTGAAGTAGTCAAAGAGTGAATACGTTTGCACCGTTGTGACCAATTTTCAACCATATCCCCAAGGTCCTTCAACCGTTGACTCTTATAGTTTCGGGGATATCAACCTGGTAGTCTACGGATCCCCCCACACGAGTAAGACCATCAGGCATAAACTTGATGAGCTAATGCTATATCTCTCTGGCCGCCGTTAGCCTTCTCCAACGTCTCCTTGACTTAAACTTCAAGATAGGTAGTGGGTCAGCATGTGCAAATCCTGTCTAGTGTTCCTAGGTCCCCGAGGGTTCACAACCTCATATTTCGAATGTCCTGTCTTACCTAGTATTCGCCTCACTTCTAGATAATTAGCATGGTGATTACACCATACGCGTACAGTGCTGTTTCAGTAACTGCCGGTTCGAGCTCATGAAGGTCCCACAGTAAGTGAAGTGGTCGACATATTCCACCACTTCACTCCCTATCATTGAATTACACGTAGCTGTAGACCAGTCTTGAAGAACCATCCTACATTTAACAAGTGCGAAATGCATGCTGAGATTTCTGCTCAAGGCGTTTATAACTCTTTATTTTGTCGGCATCTTCACCTAGTAGGACGACATTGTCTGCGTGCTCCAAATCTACCAGATATCCTCCACGGGTTAGATCACTCCGAATGGAATCAAGGAAAGTAAATTTCATGTCATTTACATTATTTAGAACGTGGTTGAACAGGAACGGTGACAGTGGACACCACTGGTTGTCGTCAATTCAGATGATAACTCTTTATAAACCTTTACACGGCTGCACGAGTTAGAGGAGAGAGCTTTGGTTAGCGTTACATGCTTGCTCGGTGTTCCCTTCACAACCAGATGGTGTCACAACACCCATCGGTCAACAGAGTCGAATGAGGTCTTCAGGTCAAGGAAAATAGAAAGGGTTGTCTCCCTGTGTTTCTAGAACCTGTCGAAGGGTGGAAATGTGGACAGTTCACCCTCGCCCGGGTTTGAAAACTGCTTGGTTTCTCGAGTTTGAATTAATCCTCGGATAACTATGAGCCCAAGGGTCTTTAACCCGATATTAGTCAAACTGATTCCCCTATAGTTTTCGCAAGGAGACTGTGCTCCTTTCTCATAGACCAGTCTGAAAGGACCACGTCCGATTATCATGCGCTACTCAGTACCCTCGTTGCTCTACCCATCCATCTTCCATCCTTAAAAACTTAAGGCGATAAACTCTCAGGTCCTGTTGCTTTGAAACGTTTCAGGTTCGATATAGCCTTCTCAATTTCTAGTAGATTTGGGGGACCAGCAACTACGTGTGATGCAGATTCGAGCTTGTTGCAAGGAATGATACTTGGCTGCGTTGGGGTGGGACGGCTGGTTATTTTTCAACGGAACTCTTCTCTTTTTTGGCTCTTGTAGCGTCGGACTCTAATCTTGGAGTGGGTATATTTTAAACCTAGAGGTAGCTGGTTTTTGTCTTAGCAATATGAAACAACCCTTTTCAGTGTAGTAGCCCTTCGAGGTAACAATTTTTCGTCTAGTGAAACTTGTTTGGGCCATTGTTTTACAAAGCTGACGACTATATCAAGATGGCAGTTGTGATTCACGAAGATATTATGTAGTAGGTCACTGTGTATAAAAATGTGATCAATGTATGTACAGCCTGAACAAAAACTGGTTTGCTTCTGCTGGGTGGGTTTTCTATACGTGATGTAAACCTAGGCAATATAACAGCAGAGAATATTTCAAACTCCATCAGTAGGAGACTGGTATTTCGATGATTGGGACAAACATAGTTCATTCTTCTTGGAGATGTGTACAATAACGACTTCGCTTCAAGATGATGAAACACTTTGAGTTTAACATACTTTCCGAAACAACGTAGTCCTTTCACTTTCTTCAGTCTCGTTTTATAAGCTGTAATAAATTCGGCTATAACATTTCAGGGCTTTATGGTGCATTAGAACCCAATGGCTGTTTAGCGAGTCAAGACAATATAAACAGACTGATTTCGGTCAGTGATGAGTAGAGTGAAAGAAAGACACAGAAGGATAAATGTGAAAAGGATAACGAAAAGACAGTATATAGTTGAACAGTAAAAATAACGGTGATGTGAATACAATGAATTGAATAATAGAGCAGAAAGTTCAAAGGAAGGTTTGGTAAGTGTTTTGTAGACTTCATTATTAATGCCGATTTTCAATTTGTATTTCGCTTCCGATATTGTCCACATGAATGTTTGATGCCTACCTTTTTTGAGTGTTAGCTTTTAATGGTCAGAAAATAAAGACTGAAGGAACGTTATCATATCATAATTACTCATTTACTTGCTAACCACTTTCTATGTTTCCAATGGGTTGAAAAGTTCAAAAAAACCACTCAACCGACCACCACCACCACCACCACCTCAAACTCGTCTAGAAATACCACCAGCAGCCCAACCACAGAAATATAGGTGAACACAAGGCCTATGACAAAAGCAGAAGTGGAGTCCTGAACGCCGTAAAGTTGCTGAAATCCAGGAAAGCAGCAGGACCACATGGAATTCCGCCAGAAGCACTGGAAACAAACGCATAGACAACAGAGGACATGCTCACATAACTGTTCCACAAGGTTTGCAAGGAAGGAAGGAAACGTACCTTCCAATTCATTGGAAGAAGGACTATCTTGTCAAACTTCTAAAGAAGGGCAACCTAAGCCTTTGCAAGAACTGGCGTGGAATCAAGCTCCACTCCTGTCCACCCCAAGCAAAATATTAAGCCGCATCATACTTGAGAGACTAAATAATGCCTTGGATTCAAAATTACGACAGGAATAGACAGGCTGTCTTCAAAAACAACAAATCATATCCCGACCAAATTACAACGCTACGCTACGCATCATCATAAAACAGAGCAGAGAATGAATTCCAGTCAACTCTTCACCTCAACCTCATCGGTTTTGAAAAGACCTTCGACAACGTCGACTGAGAGGTAATTTGGCAATTGCTGCTCAAACACTACAATCTTAGTGCCACAAACCGTTATCAACCTCACTCAACAGCTATGTGCTATATGATACCACATGTCAAGTGATTCACAGTGGAAAGCTCAGTGACGCCTTTGAAGTGAAGACAGCAGATAGGAGTAAGACAAGGTTGCCGCCTACTATCATCACCGAGCCTAGAAGAAGATTTGGATTTCGCTGATGGCTATTTATGTCTAGTGTCTTGTCGCACAAACTCGAAGATCTACAGGCGAAAACTAACAAGTTGGCAGAAGAGGTGAGGCGACGAAGGAAGACGGGACTTCCTTCATGTGAACGTCGGGAAGACACAGGTGACGAAGATACTCAACCACCAACAACAACAACCAATCATCGTGGACGGGAGAAATCTAAAGAAATTTGTCGCTTTCACCTACCTAGGCAAGGTAGCGTCTTTTCAACTACAGGTGGCGGCACACATGAGGACGTCATAGTCAGGATCAGAAAGACAGGCCTTCATTGATCTGAAATCAGAGTGCAGATCTACACCACTCCACTCCACTCCACTCCACTCAGCATAAAGCGTGAACAAGATCCGGATTTTCAACACTGATTCAGTCAAGTAAGTCAGTGCTTCTATGTGGTGGTTCAGAAACTTGGCGCGTTACGAAAAGCATTTCCATCAAACTACAGACATACATCACATCGACACCTGCCACCTACGCCCACTTGATACTGAGGATCAGATGGCCACAAAGAATGAGCAACAAGGAACTCTGGTCGCCAACGAACCAACCAATAACCCATCGCCCAACAAATATGCAGAAGAAAGTGGAGATGGATTTGACTGAACTGGACATACACTGAGAAGACCATTTGGGTACATCACGCGCCAGGTCAGGTCCTCGAGTGGAATCCAAAGGGGAAACGATGAGTTGGGTGTCCCAGCTGAGGGTGACATGGAGGAGGTCATGTGAGGAAGAAATGAGAGCTTTTGGGCAGTCAAGGAGCGAGGTTCAAAAGACTGGAGAGAATAGAGTGAAATGGCGACGTACTACTGAAGCCCTATGTTTCACGGGGAACCGAAGGGATGAATAATAATAATAATAATAATAGGTTTTTATGGTCGGATAAATTGATTAGTTACTGGAGGTCGACCAACTTCGTGTAATCTGGTCCTGTGCTGATCGAATTCTGCCGATTATTTTAAAGTGTGGCCAGTAGGCTCATCATCGCGATGCACGAAGATGGATGTTAATTGAATGGAGGAAGTCGGTAAGAAGCCCTAGATCTAGGTTTCATGCGTTTTGGCAATCCTCCAGAGCTGGCTACGCAGTCTCCATCCAGCTAACATCCATCGCAGTGCACCAATAGCCTTTATTGACCCTGGGCAATTTTCCGAGGTCAACTTCATAGGTCGAAGTAGTCGACCAGCGTCAATTTGGGTATCTGAGCATGAAACTCTAGCTAGGTTGAAATTGGTAGATTCTAGTAAGTTGAGGAATTTAGAAAAAAGCTCGACCATAGCTATACATGCGATTACACAACCATACAATAGGACTCGTCATGGTGAAAATCCTTAAAACCAACATAGTGGGGTAGAGGGAAAGATTGATTACTGAACCTTCGTTTATCGAATCAAAACCTAACACATACAACAGGAGTGACTCAGCACCTGCTCCGGATCTGTGGAGAATCGTATTACCCTTATCACAAAGTTTGTGAGATAATTAGAACTATAGAAATCATTTCTCAAAGTCGTGTGGTTGTCTTGATAGGACTATGGACAATAAAATATGTTCGAAACGTAATCCAGTGAATGAAACTGTTTCAGTGTGTGATACATCTGATAAATCAACTAGATGGGATTACATTCTACCATGGTGCTTAATTTCTACCACTATACATTCGTGCTATCTTTATGCATTCTAAAGATATCAGACAATTATAAACGGTAAGGTAGGTAACACAGGGACAAGATATTTTACCATATTTTGAATAAGTGCACGTCATAGTAAATAAACAGTTATACCGGAATAAATGGGAATGTCACTCATTAGGAATATTATTGAAATGATTTCTATGTAAGCAATCAAAGCACAATGACGCTAGACGGTCAAAATACCAAATAGAAGAATGGATTGATAACCTAACCTGAGAACTGCAAACAAAACATTTTGAAACGTAATTCGAACAACTTCTAGTAATGTTCTGGTTACTCATTATGTTAATGGGTGAACCAAATAAGTTCTCAGTCAAGGTATGCTGGTTAGGTGTCACTTCACTGAGCCAACCTGGATCACTAGTAACTATATACACGCAGACGAAGTAGAGGGCAGTCACCTTGCCCAACGAAGCGTTATTCGTTGGTTTGTAAATGATTTTTGATTCGTTTTATTTAGCTGCTGCGTTCCTTCGTCAGCATAATATAGCCTGGAGAGAATCCGTGGGTTTAAGAGAGCTACACCGATTTCAAACTGTCAGAGAAAGGTACTGAACCACTCAGAGAAATCTTGAAGTTAGTCCTAGTGATTTCCTATAGAAATACAATGAAAGCCTCACAAGTGAACCATACAGCTTAAAAAATACAACACTAAGATCATCTATTTGAGTTACAAATATTCTTCATGATTTCAAAACAAAACTATCACCAGAATCTAAGATATTAAATCAGAAGCTGAGGTACGGAAGACGGCTTTGGCAGATAATATTTGGGGGCAATAGTCAATGATTAACTTAACGTAAGTCTTTTATTTTTTTATATTTCGTTTGTGCTTTGAAGTTTCTTTAGCGGTTAGATTTGTTTTACGGGGTAGGGTTGCTAGCCCTATGCCCAACCTCCCCTCTTTACCCGGGCTTAGGACCGGCTAGTAACTAGTGAACTAGTTAACCAGGTCTGAATCCACAGGGATTGATCTGCTCCCTTGAGTTCATTAGACTGACTGGAAGTATGCAGGCGACACTGTCCTGCTGGGTGAAGACAATGATAAAATGCAGGGTCTTTTTAACGCCTTGAACAGAAATTTGAGTACATCTGGTGTGCGTCTAGCACCTGTCAAATGCAAGGTGTTGCTCCAGGGTTGGTATGCTACTACTTCCAGTTTAATTTTAGGGAGTGGTGGAATGTGTCGAACACTTAACTTATTTAGAGAATTGCATCAGCCTTAAAAGTGTTGGTTACTGACGAAGTCAAAATGAACACAAAGTTACGAGTGAACAAGTAGAAAACTGATAGAAATGGTATGAAGTAACGAAAGTGATATGGAGGAAATACACGACTGGAATGAGTACAGAATAAAGCATTAGTATAACTTCAACAGTTCGGAGAAAAAATCCTCAGCTGTAGACTACTAAGTATGCAACTAACCGGAGCTAGCATCAAATGGATAATGAGATTGTCTTCATACAAAACTCCTAAATTCAAAAGATTCAGTATACGAACTATACGGACTTCAATTACAAGCGTTCTTTCGATACACATTTAATCTTAAATGAGGTCTTCTACGGTAAAAATAAAAGTAACTATAACCTACCCGTCAAGTATTCGCGAAGGAATTATGGCATCATCGGCTGAAGGAGTGGACCAAAATTTTGTGTAATCATCGGCGACCGCATTATTATTCAAACGAACAGAAGCAACCCAACCATTATCTGTGCCAAGCAGAATACAGTGACTATCCAAAGAATAGCATAAGGCAGTAATATGACTGGTTTCCTCACCAGTAGGACTTCCAACTCCACTTGGAAGTGATCTTAAGTTGCTAGTGATCCTCCGGAGACAAGACTTCTGGATAAGGTGATTGGACCCTTGGCCTGCTGAAGTTAACTCCCACAAATATATGTCGTCTGAATCAGTCAACGTGATCAGCTTTCTCTTTTTAAAAAATGTAGATAATAATTAAGCCACTTACGGTGCCTGTTAAAAAAGCCACTTGAATATACTGGGCGACCGTTTCATGAACAGCGGAAAATGATATTCCTGGTTTTCCATATCTTTAATGGTATTAAGGGAGAGGTGCTGACTTGGAAGACAAAAACCACTACATATGAGTTATAGCAGTACATAAAACGGTACTTTTGACAAAGGCAAGATACGTTGTACGAATCCCAATTAAAAATCTTTCAGTATACAAGCTAGCCTCGAGAGAATATGCCAAGGCTTTTCTGAACATGCTGATAGATACAGGAGACACGCTACCACTGCATACACCACTCTGATATACTGAAAAGCATGAATGATTCATAGACGTGCCAACTACACATACGGACAAAGCGATTCGGTAAAAGGAATGAATGGTAACCAAAAGGACTAAGTTGATGTGGGCATCCATAAGATATGGGAGAGATAATTATTCGTACCAAACCATCCACGGAAACTTAACTTCTAGATTAAGTGCAGCAACATTACAACACACGATTCGAATTATTCTCTTACTTTCCTGTCAAAATACTTGCAAACACGACCACAACTTGAGGCGCTTTGTTTAGACTAATCTAAACACTCTTTAAACATTTTAGTTGTCTTGTGTGTAGAAGTGAAACAGTTACGAATTCATATACGCGAAGTAACTCGTGCACAAACTTTATTAACCATCCGGTCAGATGCACTTTGAAAAGGATACATATAAATGTTGCCATCACGTGTCAAAATCGCCAACATATCCAGGACAGGGTCGTAAGCCACCGATGTAGGTTTAAGAGGAAAGCCATAATCAGAACACTAAAAATTGACAAGACATGAACAATTCCTTACGACAGAAATTCTGTATCTTGATCCCTGTAAATCAACGGGCTCTGGCTTTTTACGAAATGCAGGGAAATGCCCTGGAATCTTCCTGAAAGACTGGAAAATTTTTTGTGCCATTTATAGCTGCCCCCAACGTCTTCGGCGCGGCACAGCTACTATAAGGATTCAGCGCCAGTTGTTCGACTCAAAATCCAATAGATAGATATAATAAAAATGTAGTCATATTTACTTCGTTCAATGACCGAAGTGAGACTTTACTCTTCATCTTTGACTTTTTTTACTTAAGAAATCAAGTGCTTTCGTTCTACTTAGTCTAGAAACATATGGCTACTTTTTAGTACCCAAATGTTATCTATTCACTACCGAAATAATCTTACAGTGGAAATTTAAAAGCAATAGTCCAAGAGAGGAAACTTTATCAACATGGTCAAACAGTGTTACGAATTCTGTTAGCATCAGTTGCTTGACAACAGCGGAAAACTATATAATATCATTTCTTCGGGATTACCAGACATCGCCAAACTCACCACATCAAAATTCATGAACCATTCACTTAACGACAGTGACATATCAAGATTTCTTTTCTTTATCGGTGTAAGTCCTGGCAGAAGCTCGGGGTCTTGAAAAGACTCGAAAACTGCTTTGCCGGTAAGTGTCCAGCATTTGAATTCATTCATTTTATTTCACGACACCATATTTAGTATTAAAAGTCGGAATATACTACACCAAGTGTTAGCACGATTTTAACGCACTATCACATTCTCTAGGAAAATAAACCATGCATTCTCCACATAGTTGATTTATGGTTTGTTCGTTTCGACAGTCATTGAGACGAAACCAATAGTCAGATCGTGTTTTATGCTGTATATTCATGTACGAAACAGTAGGTTCCTCGTCATGTATTTAGTGGATATGGGCCCACAATTTTTGCAAATAACGGTCCCTAGAAGTTGAAGTGAGCCCTTCGAGGACTGGAATTTGAAAAAAGCTTCATGAATCCCGTTCCTTCCACAACTTGGGTCCCATGTGACAAAAAAAGTAATTTTACATAAAATCCTAGGATGACAAAGGTACTCATGTACGTAGCTTTGAAGTCAAAATGAGGTGTTACACAATTATGCAGAGCCCCGTTATAAGCAGTGGCGATTTTCCAAACCGGCAAAAAAAGAATCGTGGAATCCTGGCTGTCATTACAGTATCGTTACTTTGGGTGAGGACCTCAAAGGAAAGTATTTAATGTTTATTTTAAATGCGACACATCAGATTAATCTATCAGCGAATATTTAGTAAGCAACAGGTATTGGGCTTGCCTGAAAGACAGGGAAGTTGATATTAAACGTATGACACGCAAAATGGCTAAAGGTGGACGAAACTAACATTTACTTGGACAACATGATTTTTACTCCCTTCTTCAAATCTATGTGTAGTGCGAGTGTACACCGCAGTCAGCTATCTGTTCAGCTTGCGGTTAGGAAACCACAGCATTTGACCATCACTGATTTCATGAATACTGACGGAAGGTGAAGTTTAATGCTGATCTATAATCATTGATCACAAAGGGAATATACGGGTAACACAGAATCCTATAGCGTCTAAAGAATCGAAAAATGGGTTCAAGTTCGCGGACAAATTCCTTGCCCGTTGTAGTCCCTGCAAAATCTACAATGAAAAACAGTGTATTTCGTAATCTCCCTCAATGTACAAGGACCGTGTTCGCTAGGCACATAAGAGATAAATTCAGCATCCTACTCTATCTAATAAGATCACGTCATTACAATCAAGATATTGAATCAGATAGCTCAAGGACTCCAGGCACATCTGATTTCCTTTCTTTCGCACACTTTGTCATGAAACCAGTGTTTGGTAGTGATGGCATTAATGGATAAACTGCATATATTTTCAACCTACAATGTTCAAAGGCCACGCCCGAAGTTCTGAAGGGATTGTTTCCTACCAACTGTTGCATAAATCAGCCTGCCTCCTGTCTCTTCTATGCAGCTGACACAGCATAGTATGTAATAATAAATTGTCAGCTTTCGTGATTCGAAGATATGTGACCTAAACTCCGCTTAAATCAGTCAGTCGACATGCAAAAGCATCACATGAAATGATGGTTATACGTTCAAACGCATCTGTATCGACATCCTTGGGCGTGTGAAGGAACAACACACCTACGAAGTGCAAGGTGATGAAATGTTTTTAACGAGGATATGCAACTGATACAGAAGCTGTTGCCGTATTTATCTCAGTAATGGAACATATGAACAGCTATCGGTGGCACCATCAGAAACAGTGGCTGCACCTTTTTGTGCCCTGACTCATGGTATGTGTAGGCCTCCTAATTTCTTTTACGGTAATTTCTAGGTTACCGGTCGCCTTTCATCAAAAAACAATCATCGTTCACTCCAAAGGAAATTCCATCTTCCTTGTCATAAAGTGGGGGGTAAAACAGTGTGATTTTTCAAATCCTTCGTCCGACATTTCTGAAACTTCCCTCAGTAGCCTAAGAGTCCTTCAGTGGATGAGATCTGCATAGTTACAGGCCATGCATGCACCATATCCATTTGCACAACCAAATTCCTCCAGGTGAGACTCCTTTAGTGATCATGATAGCAACTTATTCCTAACCATGAATCGAAAATAAATACATGCCTGTCACAACCTGTAGATTGTCTTTGAATATCATCAACTCGATAATTTCTGCTGCAGCGTACGCCTTCAGGGACAAAGGCACGGCAGAAATGCATTTCCTCGTACAGATGACTGTCATAAATTAATTATGCTCCTGGCATCTATGATTAGTACTATTCAGGCTTTTGTAGTTGTTACAGTATTAGGGGCAAATCTCTTTGCCATGCACAAGTAGTTAAAACCAGCTTTCTCTTTTAATAGATGCTTATGTCGAAGTAACACTCACAGTTTTAGCACAACTTGTTCTCCATGCAAAAGCGTCTTCCATCAAAAGGGTCAGGACACAAGTCTTCAAAGGAACATCCACCTGACAGGTCAACTACGGTGTAGACTTCTGCTGGACGAAAGGCTACTGAAATGAACTGCCCACCTCACACTTCGCAACTTCCTGTAGAATTCGTCTCCGGATCTTTCAGAGATTCGGTGGCTAGTTAACTTCATGAACTTCACTTTTAGATTGCGTCGACTGCACGGTTTTTCGAAGGATTCCAACAAGTCGGGTGGCATGTCGGTGTCCCTTACAAAGCCCAACGCTGGTAGTGTTTAAGAACATGAATAACCATAAATTTCAGCCAGGCAATTATGAAATATGGTATGCCCCAGATTGCAGGATCTTTGAAGAGCACCAGAAAACAATGTTCGCCACTGCAACAACATCCTACAACTGATTGCGAACACTTTCAAATAACTGATGACCGGCTTCAGCTGTACCACTCACCCAGAAAGCAAAGCCGTGCTTTTACTACGTGATGCAGACGCCTGTTCATCCTTTGAAATATTCCGTATCTGTTGGGGTCGCAGAAGCATGAGGTGGCTAGGCAGAATAGTTTGCCGTTTATGTTGGCCACGTTTGTGGCACCCGTTCCCTGCTGCAGCGTTTGCACTCTTTTTGGAACTAGTTCCTGCCTTCCATTTGCAGAACTTTAACATACTTTCTTGCTAGGCATTCGAATTCAGCTGTATGCTTTCATTCTTCTAACGGGAACTTTACATTAGACTGTTTGTGTTGTCTTCAGAACTTGGGGAGTAGCTATTGAACACTGCCAAGCGAAAATATATCCTATTTATCCACTACTGGTGACAACGCCCACCCAAAGACCACCTTGAGTGGTGTCATTCAAGGAAGTCTGATGGGGCCCTTACTCTCCCTACCTTACATCAGTGATATTTCCAACGCCTTAAAATGTGGTGAGCCCTACCTGTTTGCCGACGACTTAAAAATTGTGTACAGCTTCCCCCACGCGTCATTAAGTGAGGGTTTCAACAGATCCGGAAAGACCTGATGTATTTGTTCGCTTGGAGTGAAATATGGCAACTTCCACTTGACTCTACTGAATGCGGGATTCTCTGTTTCAGTATTTCCTACCCAAACGTCAGCTTACACCTTGACCATTCTGTGCCGCAGTCATATAACTCGGTATGTGAGTTAGGTATTAGGCACTCTCGTAACTTAGCGTTTGCGAAGTGTGCTCAGTCCGTTGTATCCAAGTGTGAGCGCTCAGTTGGCCTTTTGGTTAAACACGTACATACCACTGAGGCTAGACTGCTTTTATTCAAAGTAATGATCCGCCTAGTACTTGAGTACAGCACAATCATCTTCGGCAATATGTATGATTCGGATAAGATACTAATTGAGAATGTTCAAAAAAAGTTTACCCACTATGTACTGGGCCGTCGCCAAGAACTTGATTATGAGAGAAGGTGTAAGGAACTAAAACTTGACCCACTTTGACAAAAACGCCTCAAGCTAAACCTAGACCTATTTTCCCGCCTTTTGCATGACATTACTCACGCCCGTTGCGCCCCTACTTTTAAGCCTATGTCCTCATGTATTCTACGCAATCGTGAATGCACTGTACCTGTAGAAAAGCATCGCCTTAAACTTAGGTCACGATCCTTTACGTTACAGTACAGCAGGTTATGGAATAAGCTTCCACATTTTATTCGCTCTTGCATGTCTGCATTTCAGTATCGGCGTCTACCTAGCGATTTTTTCTTTTCACGGATATCTTTAAATTTCTTGACATTCATTTCATATCCACAAAGGCGAGGTACAATGAAGCGATTGGCGCGCAATCATCGTGGAGCCACTGCGTCCACTGTGAACGTACTTAAACCTCTAAATATACGAATCAAAGTTATTAAAGTCCTCAAGTTCCTCCTGCACTGATGAGTGTACGATTGCATACAAGGGTGTGAGTACTGGTTCCCCTCTTCTGCATTATGAACTTGATGTACTGTTTTCCCTTTCAAAGCCACTAAGATACGCCCCAGATGTAGAAAATTTTAGGAACTTTATGATGGAACAAGTATGTAGTTGATTCTACATACATACATACATACATACATGAAAATGTGCATAAAGTTCGAATTGGTCTAAAAGAAAGGGGAATTCTCTCCTCTCCAAACCTGATAGCGCAGTCATTCCACTTTCCAAATCTGCTAGTGCTTATTCTTTATTTTCCCATTTGCAACAACAGCTGAATGATGGCATTCGATGCCAAATTTCAATCTGAAAATTTCTACTTGGTTGAAATA